ACTAGTGTCACAAGCCACTTCAAAGGGAACACTGGTGCAAGAAGGGACCACAGGCCCCATCACCACCCTCACTTCAACAAAGAAAGAGTCCATCCAGGTTGTTCTGGGGTGGGTCTGAGGTGAAAGAATTATGACATAATGTACATCTTAAAAATCACACTTAAAGTTATGGTGGTAATGATAGTAAGCAATATATATATATATATATATATATATATATATGAATGATATAAATACAAAACATTTTATGTATATACTGGAATTTTTAAAAATGTAAAAAAAAATCTTTGTAGTTAAGCATGTTGAGACAGTAAGATCCTATATACTAAAAGGCACCATGCAATGATAAAACTCACCACCATGAACTCCAGAGATACATTATAGTCATTTATGATAGGAGCGGAAAGTTAGGTCTCATTTTCTCAAATATACTTTCAGAAGAAACCTTCAATAATTCCATAGATCTATCAAAGGTCAAAAGATCTCTAGGTGGAGAAACAAAATAAGTCTCTCTCTCTCTCTCTCTCTCTCTCTCTCTCTCTCTCTCTCTCTCTCTCTCTCTCACACACACACACACACACACACACACACACAATTAGTTTGGGTGAATATAAAAATGTGATTAATCTACTTATAAATTCAGAATAGGCAACCAGGTATGATGGTGTATGCCTACAATCTTAGCAATTGGAGAAGCTGAGGCAGGACGATCTGGGTAACTTAGTGAGACCCTGTCTCAAAATAAAATAAAATTTAAAAACCAGACAACAAACTGATTCAGTAGTTAAGAAATACTGAGAAATCACTGAACTTTGTTTCTAAAATGGCTAGTTTGGCCAGTTTTATGGAGGAAAGGGGGCTGGTAGGAAAAAGCAAGGAGGCAGACTGCAGAAAGAGAGGAAGAGATAATGAAAAAGAAAAGCTAATGGAGAAAAAGAATCAAAGAAGCAAAAGGGAGAATAGTCTGACAAGCTATGAGTGAGGATTCTCAGCGAGCCCTCAAAGATATGAACACTTGGTCAGAGGTCAGCATTGCTGCATCTTATCAGTCACCTGTGGTATACTGCCCACCCAGCTGCACTAATCCTTAGATCTTTATAGAGAATTGATGCTGCTCACTAGGGTGGAATAAAAGATTTTACTGAAGAGAGTTTTCTACAAAACAAATCCAAACTTTATAGGAAAACTGGTTTCTCTTTCTCCTTTAGATGAGCTAGGTAGATTTTCCATTGATTCACACAATCCTCTAATTCAAGGAATGTTTACAGAAGGCCTACTATGCTTCAGGCCTGGGGGACACAGCAAAACAATTGTGACTGCCACCTCATAAAGTTGATCAGTGAGACTCGGGCAGGGTGACTAACCATTTAGCAGTGCACTGAGGGTTTGTAAAAAGCAAGCCCAGGGTTTCCTCTAGCAGGCCTTCCCCCACACATGAACATTTCAAGGGCAATTTGAGTCCTAGCTAAGGAAAAGGGAAATGGAGTAAATCACAGACTAACAAGAAAATATTGAAATGTTACAGTTAAAGCTCACACTGATTAAAAATAAACAAAACTGTAAGTGTTCAAACTGAACACAGCACTCATTATCTGGAACCACACAGACTATAACTCCTGAAATGAATAAACAGTCAGAGAGTATTTTTAGTAATACTTAAAAAAGTTCATAGAGCCATCCCAGCCTAATGTACTACAAGATCCTATAGTACCTTTGGAATCATTAAGAAGTAAATTACATTTGTTGAGATTTACTGTTAAGTGTATTTCCTGTACTTTGAATACTGGTATCTCAAGTAAGCAATCAGGTCTTAACATGGGCCTACCCAAGATATACCTCAAGAAAAGTGCTCCATGATCACAACAAGTTGGGGAAATGCTGTACACACTAAACACCACTTGAGATTCATGGGCCATTTTAAGAAATTAAGTTCTCTGACAAGTCCTGTATGAAAAAAGTTAGCTAAACAGTTTGAGCCAGTATTTTCCAAACTGATTTGACCATGGAACTGGTTTGTTTGTGTGTGTGTGTGTGTGTGTGTGTGTGTGTGTGTGTGTGTGTAAGTAAGTAATACTGATTAACAGGTCACGAACTGCTCCACTGACTGTGTATGAGATACTTTATAGTATAGGGCACATACTGTTTAATCTGAAGATGCATTTAATTATCAATCTCCTCACCACTAAGGAACTGCCATTTACTACATGCTACAGGAATAGAAAAACTTTTCCCACTGAATTTGTTGAAATCCACTCAAATATATACTGAAGTTTCAAGAAGAAACTTTTACTGAACTAAAAGTAGATCTTGGGGGCTGGGGTTGTAGCTCTGTGGTAGACCGCTTGCCTCGCATGCGTGAGGCCCTGGGTTCAGTCCCCAGCACCACACAAAAATAAACAAAAATAAATATATTGTGTCCATCTACAACTAAAAAAAAGATTTTAAAAAAACTGGATCTTGGGCTGGGGATGTGGCTCAAGCGGTAGCGCGCTCGCCTGGCATGCGTGCGACCCGGGTTCGATTCTCAGCACCACATACCAACAAAGATGTTGTGTCTGCCGAGAACTAAAAAAACTGGATCTTGGGGTGATAATATAAAGAAACTCAAAACAATTGTATAATAATTTGAGCTTGCTAGATTGCAAGAAGTTTATCTATTTCTCTAACATGTAATTCTCAATTTCCAGAGTATATGTATATCTTAATTTTAATTGAAAAAATACTGAACTTTGGGCTGGGGTTGTAGCTCAGTGATATTACACTTGCCTAGCACATGTGATCCTTGACACCACATAGAAAAAATTAATAAATAAAATAAAGGCATTTTGTTCATCTACAGTTTAAAATTTTTTTAAAAAAATACTGAACTTTAAAAAAGCTATTTACCTCTGCCATATTGCCTATTATACTCAAAAACAAATATCTGTAACTGAGAAATGGCATATGATGTACAACTCATGAATAACAAGTATGGGAGGGACGATTATGTCTGTGATTGTATTTTTGTTATTTATAATCTGACTTTTCCTCTGGAAATATCTTAATTTTTACCTTAGAGGCTTTATGGAATCAAATTACAGTAACTGAAAAAGTATAATCGTTCAGTGAACAATTTAAAAAGTACTAAACATTTGTTAAGCCCCTACTGTATGCATGCCACTGGATTAGGCATTGTAAGGACGAATTTATTTTCTGGGCCCCCAAAAAAGGTCTGCCAAGGTAGCAGAATATCTGAAATTAGAACTCTTAGAAACTCAGGGATCTACCAGCATATGGAATAAATTGCTGCACTGGAGAAGCTTACAAGATACCTAAGTGAATTTAAGGACATCCAGGCAGCCATTAAAAGACCTGTAAGAATCAAATCCTTCTTACTAAAAGGGTTACTCTGGTAATCTAAAAGTTCAATATCACTTAATGCAAAATAATCAATGTGAGATTTGGGTCAAAAGCTTGAAAGTTGTTAAAGTTTTCATGTTAAGCTTCACCTGTGTAATGCTTTTCTTTTCCTTTTTTTTTTTTTAAGCTAGTTAGTCAAGTTTAATGCAAAAGTTTCCCACTGACAATTAAAAGCAGTGTGGCTTAATAATCTAATAATCACAGGTTTCTTCAAAGAATCTATTGAAGGAATTCAACTTCTGGTAATGAGAACAAAGTAGAATATTCACTTATAGTAAGGGAGAGGTGAGAAATCATTTCAGTTATGCAACACTGAAAAAAATTTTCCTTTTCATAGAGACAAAGCAGAAATTTCTACTAGAAATTGAAGACAAGGGGCTGGAGTTGTGGCTCAGTGACAGGCACTGGGTTTGATCCCCCGCACCATATAAACAAAACAAAAGTATTGTGTCCATCTACAACTAAAAATATATTTTAAAAAATAAAATAAAGGTTCATCAACAACTAAAAATATATATATATAAGCAGTGAGTTCATACATAACTAGAAAAAAAATTTAAAAAAAAAGAAATTGAAGACAATAAGTAAATCAAACTATATCCTTCCAATTTGGGAGATTTACCTGTTTTCGGTAATCAAGGAAATAAAAATTTCTCCAATGACTCTTAAAAATGGGTAATGATGAGACGGATGATATTCAACCATCTACAGCCAAGCCCACCAAAGTTTTCTGTTTTACTACTTTAATAATAAACCAGTGCATGAGTGCTAGCTCTAAAATTCCAAACCAGAGAACTGGAAAACAGCTGCTGGGTATGTTAATGAACTTTCTTCCCACCCCCCCACCCCCTCGCCCCTTTTATATTTCCTTTAGAAAACCTTAACTAAGTCTAGAAACTTTGACAAAGCGCAAGCCAAAGCAATACGTGCTGGAGAAGACATACAATATTTAAAAAAAAAAAAAAAAAAGGAAAAAAGAAAAAACTGTCACAAAAGGTCCCAGAGAGACTGCTCAATAAAAAATCAACTTCGTTCTACTGAATGTTTCAAAAATCGCATTTCGGATAGTATTTTCTAATTACATACACTTTAAATACAACATGTATGCTAATAAACGTGAACCTCAAATACATGTGCAATGAAGCAAAACTGATGTTGTTCCAGATTACATTTTAATAGTCCCAAAGAAAATGGAAAATTGCGTGTCCGAAGCTGACAGAGGGAAAACTCCGGATGACAGCGTTCTACGCCCTACCCAGGATCAGCCGCCCTTCCCTTCCTACCACCGGCACCTCAAGGGGCGCGCCAGAATTCCCTGAGTGTTCCCTCCAGGGGGAAACTGATTCTGGCGCCTCCGCTGGCCCTGCTGCTCCAGGAGTCGGATCTGACCCAGGAACCAACCCCGCGCTTCGGATGGCGTCCTAGGCGCAGCCCGGTAGATACGGGGCCAGGGACTGGTGGGTCCTCTAGGCGCTGCGGTCCGTCGAGGCCATCCAACGCCCGGCAGGGGCACCGCGGCGTGAGACGGCGCCCACCCACCCTTGGGGGAAGCTGCCGCTCGCCGCCCGAGTGTCACCGCGCACCGGCCCGCCGTCCCTTACCTGCGCGCGGGTGCCGTCGCGAGCCTCGTTCTCCGCGCGGTCGGCGCCGCGGGGCCTGGGCTGGGCGTCCCTCTTCGAGTAGTGAGGGAGGAGCGGCCGAACGGACGGCTGCCGCGGCGCCGCAGGGACCGGCRCGTCCTCAGCCTCCTTGCCGCCGGGATGTGCTGCCCGGCTCTCGGAAATGCGGATGCTCGGCGCGCAGCCCATACTGGCGGCGGCGTGGCGGACACGCTGGCGGCGGCGGCGGCCGCGGTCCGGTCAGCAAACGGCCCGCCAGGCGCCTCGGGGCCGCCGCGGGCGCCGTGTCATCGCCGCTTCGGCGGGCGGCGGCGAGCGGGGTCTCGCGTCAGGCAGAGCGGCCGCCCTTTTATCGCGGAGCGGGCGCGGCGGCGGCAGCGGCCGCGGGGAGGGGGCGCAGGGGCGGGCGGCGCTCCGCGGCCGCCCCTCCGAACATGCCCTTCCTGAGGCGGGGGCAGCCGCCTCCCTCACATCGCCGCGCTCGCTGCGCCGCGCCGCGCTTCCGGGGAATTTCGGGGAGGAGATCTGCGCTCTCCCAGCTCCAGCAGACAGCCCGCGCCGCGCTGGCAACGCCGCCCTCCGGAGCGCCGCGAGGCCCGCAGAGATGCTCTCCCGCCTTGCTGGTCACTGCGCCGCGCCGCAGCGGGGTTCGACCCCGCCTGTCGGTCCGCCGCCCCGCGAAAAGGGCCCCTGGGTCTAGCGACGGTGGGGGACCGCTGTTCACTTGCTCCTGCTGACAGGACTGAGGAGCCAGCGGTGGCGGCCGGACGGTGAACTAATCAGCTGTCTACGGCAGAGCCTGGGGCCGCGCCGTCGAGGATCTCAGAGCGGCTGCGCGCGGCGGGAGTTGCACGCGGCGGGGCTCGGGCTCCGGCTCCGGTTCAAGTTCCGGGCCGGGTCTTACAGACGGTACGCCGCGCCCAGCCCCCAGCGGTGACCTCCAGCGGCTGCTGGCGTCAATGCAAAGCTGCTGGGCGCCCGCCGCTTCTTGGGGCTCCGCCCGCAACTGAGCATGCGCAGCCAGCCCAGAGATGGGAAAGAGACTTGCCCAAGGATACACAGCCTTCTTTGACTCAGGGTCATTAGAACCTAGACCTGCAGGTTCCGTTCCCGCTTGTAACTTCAAGGCTGCGTGACGTTCGTGTCACTGAGCCTTGGAGCTGTCATCCGGCTTGCTGTTCCTGAATGCTACTCCGCTGCCCCGCACGCCCAGAACTGATCCCCACGCTCGGTGCTGCACCGGCGTGAGGCGGCCGCGGGACTGGGTACCTACTGTGCGTGACAGGCTGGAGCGCGGTCCTCTCTTAACCAAAGGACTAGGCCTGCCATAGGAGACCCCCAGGGCTCCTTTACTTGCAGAATCAGAATCTGGGGAGGGGCTCACGCTGTGCAAGACTGGGACGTCTGAGGACCCCTGGGGCATAGTCAGAACAACGCGCTACTACCAACTATCTGGGTGACCCTGGGCAAGTCACTTAACCTCTCTGTGACTGGGGTTCCTCCCCCGCCAGCTGGAGGGCGGCGCTGCTGGAAGTCCGTCGTTGTATTTCAGAGCGAGTTACTTTGGAGCTTCCTCCCTTCCCTGCGCTCTGAGTCCACTGAGACACCCCCCCACCCCAACACCCCTGGCGCCGCCCCGGACCCTTGCTTCCCTTTCTTGTGTCCACCTCTTTTCCAGCGCCGCCGTGGGAGGCTGCGGTTCCTCCCAGACCCACTTTTGTAAAGACCCTGAGGCTGCCGAGCTGGAGTACAGCTACTGTGGGGGTGGCTGTCAGAGGACTCTGGTGCCCGATACCCCGCTGCAAACTTGACACCACTCGAGCCTGGTTCTTCCTGGCCTGGGGAGAGCACCGAATGGTTTCCCGACTGCGGCAGAGTAAAAAGGTCAGCCCGAGGGTAGCTCTGTGCAGTTCTCCCTCTTTACTGGCCAAACTGGCCCAAACCASCAGCACGTGGCTCCTTTTTCAAGTTAAACCACATTAAGCAATATTTATGCCTCCCTATCTTTTAAAATTACCATTGGCTTGATGAAGATGTCTTAAAAACAGGAAAAGATTTTTAATGTCACCCCGTTTCATTTTTTCACCTATATAGTAGAGTGTTTTCAGCCTTGACCAGTCATTTTAGAAAGTAATTTTTCCGTTTAGAGTCTAGATCTCTGTAAATAGTGATTCCTGCAGAAAATGCTTTGAGTCACCTAAGTTCATAGAAGTCCAACTCGCTCTCTCTTCCCCTAGAAGTCTGGCCTTGAGAACTCTGAGCGCTGACCTTGCAGCCTCTGAGGCTCCAGACAGCTCCAGCCCTCTTGGCCCTCCCCTCTCAGGCCAGACCTCCTTCCCTGCCTCCCCCAGAGCCTTATGCTAATGATGGGGGTAGGGTCTAGTGCAGCTTGTGCTCCGCCCCTCACCTCACTGACCACTTGGCTGCCTTCTTGTCCTCTTGAGCTGGTCATTGACCCTCTGTTCCCAAAAGCTGTGTTTACTGTTTCGTGCTCTGGAGTATGGATCCCAGGCAGTAAAGGTAGGAGTCATCTGCCTGCTTCTGGGCACACAAAAAAATGCAGAACCCTAGCCTGGGGAACTCCAGACATCACAGCTCCAACCACCTGAAAACAATCCAGCCCACTCTCTTTCCCCAGCTGTAAATTGCATCTGGAGGTCCCTGCACACTACCCTGTGAAAGGAGTTTCCACTGCCTTCAGTGACCTTTACCACAAAGAATCACACTGACAAAAGTAACCCAAGCCTCCCTGGATGTAGCACCACCCAGCTTCTCAGACTCCAGAGTAGTCAGAGGCCTCCCAGGCTGAGTAAAGAATCCTACCCCTCCATTTCTGTCAGTGGTAGCCTTGGGCTCCTGTAGCACCTAGAGCACAATCCACCAGCAGTCTCAATCCATTTCACTTGGGGACTCCAAACAGAGCAGCTGGACCCCCACAAATAAATTGAATATCTATTTCAGTTCTTACTCCAGGACTCATGCATGAGGTTAGTGGGGCTGGGAAGGGAGACAAACCACGGGGCCTAGGCCCAGTCTCCTTCCTGCCTAGCTAATGGCCACAGTTTTTTATGTTACAGGTCAGTCCATTCCCAGGAGACTCAGTGCTCAAGGCCCTCTTTGCCAGATCATTAGACATGTGAGAATGCTGGGTCCCAGACAGTCTTGGCTTCTACTTCCCTATGTTGCCACTTGTCCCCCGCACCCCACCCCACTGAACTGTACTGGAGGCCGCCCAAGGAGGAACTCTGGCACCAAGGTCTGAATCCCCACCCTGCCCCCTCCTAGACCTTGGGTTGCTAACTTCATCTCTCTGAGCTGCTTTTCTCCACCCTAAATCTAGGATTAATGGTATCTACCACCTGGAGATTAAGTGGGCTAACCAATGTCAAATGCCTAGAATAACTACTGAGTCCCCTGTGCCTCAGCTTCCCATCTCCCTTTGGGTACATTCAACATCACCTCCTTTGCCTTAGACTGCTAAAAAACAATGGAAGGAATAAAATTACCATGAGGATCAATATCCCCATGAATCTATGATTTCCAACTTCATCAGGTTCTTTTCCCTAACTTTCAAAATTTTATATAACATATTTTTTTTAAATGATCATCATTTTAAAGTGGGACATGGTGGTACACACCTGTAATCCCAGCTAGTGGAGAGACTAAAGGGGGAAGACCACAATTCCAGGGCAACTTAGACCCCGTTTAAATATTTTAAAAAATCATTGTTTTTAAATGACATAGCCTTCAATTTACACATGAATACATGATGGAACAAATAGTAAAACATTCAAACTAAGCAAAGGTAAAACTAAGGTAAAACTAAAGGTAAAACTAAAGGTAAAACTAAAGGTAAAACTAAAGGTAAAACTAAGCAAAGTGTGCAGAAGCAAAGGAAACGCTCTCCCTTTTCCTTCTCCTCCCCCCACCCTCTTATAGAGATAATTATTGCTAACAGTTTGGACTATACACTTCCAGACCTGTCACAACATGAAATATGTTTTACATACACACACACATACACACACACACACACACCCCACCCATGCATACACATATGTACCTATTACAATATTACAAACCAGACTTCAGTGAACATCCTTGAATGTTGTTTTGTGGAATCTTTAAAGTGGAATTGCTTAATCTAAAGGTGTGTACCCCACCTCTGAGCTCCAGAAGGGATGAGGGGAAATAAAATCAAAGAGTGCCCTGCTGCAGCTGAGAGATTGCTTGTCCTCTCTGCCCCTAGAAAAGGGGGTCTAGCCAAACCCAGAGGCAAGCCTCTCTTGGTAATCTTCTTCAGATTCATTAGCCTCCTTATTTTTACTTCTTGATATCCCTCAAGGCTTTATAAAGTGTTTTATAATGTTCCAGCCTTTTTCAGGTAAAGAAAGGACTGGGAGGGCTGGAGTTGTGGCTCAGTGGTGGAGTGCTTGCCTGGCATGTGTGAGGCCCTGAGTTTGATCCTCAACACCGCATATAAATAACTAAAAGATCCATTGACAATTAAAAATTTTTTTTTWAAAAAAAGGAAGGACTGGGAGACCACTTTAGGCCAAACCATAAGTAAGGAGCAGTGCCCCCTGGGAGCCAGAATGGTGAGGGAGTGAGACCCCAGGAGAATGCATCATCTACCTCCAAAATTCTTGGGTGTATATGCAGTCCCCCCTCTATTTGGCTCCAGACCTTGGTTCTTAATAGTTTACCTAGAGCCATTGTGTCAACTCAGTGTGGGCTCCCTTTCTCAAAATGGCCTTATTAACTCCCACAGTCTCAGACTTCTCCACCTCCAGCAAAAGGCTCTGTCCCTAATGCCTGCCCACGGGCCATGCTCTGTGGCTCCATCTACTCTTTCCTACAAGGCAAGGGGGCCCAATTCTCCATGGGCTTAGGAGCCCCAGGCCTCCACCTGCACAGCCCCATGACTACACTATTGATTTCCACCCCAAAAAACAAGTTCCTTGTCCCAAGTGTTTGTTTTTTTTTTTAAGAGAGAGAGACTTTTTTAATATTTATTTTTTAGTTTTCRGTGGACACAACATCTTTTTAATTTTATTTTTATGTGGTGCTTAGGATCGAACCCAGCGCCCTGCGCATGACAGGCGAGTATGCTACCGCTTRAGCCACATCCCCAGCCCCTGTCCCAAGTTTTTTTTTTTTTAAAGAGAGAGAATTTTTTAATATTTATATTTCAGTTTTTGGTGGATACAACATCTTTATTTCATTTTTATATGGTGCTGAGGATCGAACCCAGCACCCCGCGCATGCCAGGTGAGCACGTTACCGCTTGAGCCACATCCCCAGCCCCCAAGTTCTT